GGGGGGGCGGGGGGTGACTTCAGCTCGGGAGCCTCTTGTGATCGCTCTCAATAGGATGTGTCTGGTACTAGGGGTGGGGAGGAAGCCGGGTCGCGTCTCTCTGTGGTGTGCTTGGGACCTGAAGCGTTGTCCCGGTCTGTTGACACTTGTGGGTTTGATGTTGTCGCTTTCAATTGATCTTAATACTGATGTACATGTCTGCTAGGAGAAGGAAGCCTGACGACTTTGTGTAAAGTAACAAAAAAGAGAAAATTGGCCCCAGAGAACAATGCATATTGTAATTCCTCGCTTTGCATCTTGGCAGAGACTGATGCAGTGAAGTTCCCTTAAATACCCAAATTATGTAAAGAGTAGGCTTTTTAGAAGGAAAATATAACCCTTTTAGTGAGCAGATAGTATAGAATTGTCAAACACACCCACTTAGCTTTTATTTGAACTACAATTAATCACCACATTTTCCTGTTTTACTTCTGTTGGATTAATGATGAGCAGATGAAGATGGTCATGTAAATTAATTACTGCAGTTTCTATTCTTGATCCATTTAGAATACATTGTTCCTGTGTGCTGTGTGGTTTGTGTGTAGTGTGTTTTTTTTTTTTCCTGTTTACGTTCCTGATTGGGCTTGCTCTTGTGTCTAATGAACTATGTTTTCCATTGTTACCTATTGTGCAGGCTGCTGTGTGAGAATTTGAATTATACAGTGTGATCAGTGGAGTTAAGGAGGACTGGAGTTACAAAGTCAAAGAATAATAAAACAAAGTGTAATCTTCATTATTCAGCAAAATGACATCCATTTAACTAGCAGAATGAGAAGAATTGTTTAAGTTTGTATGCATAAGACATGTAGTCATGATTCCAGATTTTTCATATTGCCACTGCTATGTGAAGTGTTGCTTTGGGATTATTGGGCATACATGCCTGTTAGTTTAGGCTACAAACAGTCCATGGTTAGGTTATGTATTCATGTCTAGTAAGAATAGATTCAGCTGCATGTGCATCATTTATCTCAAAATAGTCTTGGCTATTCCACACAAATTGTTCTCCTGTTGAGAATGTTTGTTAATCTCTAGGAGCTGTCCAGTATGCCAGCAAAACTAAATATTATGTTCATATTTATTTTTCTTCAAGAAGTGGTCTTCAAACTAAGTTTTTCCCACAGGAAGTCATGTATACCGTTGCAAGTAACTTCAGAAATTGAAAATGGCTCTTAAAGTCAATTTTATGCAAAATTTTAATTGCATAAAATTCTGCTTTAGGCAATCAGTGGTGATTGAAAAAAGTGATTTCTAAGCATCAAATAAAGTCAATTAGCAACAGTAAATTGAAAAATAATCTGTTTAAAATGGTCACTAGTATTTTCAGAAATATCTATTGCCTAAATATTAAAGAAGAAAGTATAGTGTAAATTATGCAGTGTGTTCAGCTATAATTCTGGGGAAATGTCTGAATGGTGAACTGCTTTATGATGGGTAGATGACTTTAAAACATTCATAAAATATGCGGAGGTAATATGGTACAAAATTCACGCATTGTGGTAGTCCAGATTTATTACTAAATCAATTCACTAGTTAACTTTTAAAAATGAAAATAGAGTATGCACCTTAATCTCATTGCTGAAATTATTGGAAGGCTATACTGGTATTTGCTTCACTACATTCATTGATATATATCCAAGTTACAAATGTTAAAGATTGGCATAGCTTGTCTTGCAGTGTGCTAGGAAATATTTTCTCCTTTTAAATTTAAGGACTAACAAAGTGTTGACTAATGCACATAATCTCAATTGCAAAATGCAAATGCCATGATATTTTCAGCTTGATACGCTAAAATAATGGAAAATTTGCCCCCAAAAAATAATCTTATTTGAAGGAATTTTTTTCTTTGTAAAATGTTTCCTGTGAATTTAAGGTAAAATCATTTGAGAAGGAAAATCTTAATGTAAATCAAGTTTTCCGATACTGTGACTAAGTATTGTTGTTAAATATGTGCTTAAATTTTATTTTATTTTATCAACTGATAGAAGTTGATAAAACTTACAACTATATACTATCCTCCAACATCATGACAGTTATTCACTTTTCAGTTAGACTTCTGAGCAAAGATTGAGAATAGAGTATCTTCCAGATTTTATAAGTCTGTATGTGTATATATAACTGATCCTTTTTCTGAAGTTATAAGGATCTTTAACTAACGTACTTAACTGTGGGTCTGAAGTTTGATGACAAAGTAAATTAACTAACTAGAATTAATACCTAGGGCTTGCCCCTTGGTATGTTTTTATTGATTACCAGGGTCACATCTATTTCTAATCATTTTTGCTGGTACAGTAGTTTTAGTATTTATATATACCCGGTGCTCTTTTAGCTCATACCACTAAAACATGGATGGTGTTCTCAGTAGGACGTTTGTTAGTATTGTATCTTATATTTATGTAGATTTTTGTTGTTTGGCTTCAGATTTAATTTCTGTGCTGTTAAAGTCACAAAGACTTAGAGATGTTCTATCCATTTATCTTTTGAAATGTAAACTGCTAAAATAAAAGCATAACTACCAATTTACTGCTCCAATTTAAAATCTGGTTTATGTAACCTTAGCCATTTAAAATTATCTGAGTTGATGGCCGGCCTCACAGACAGTTGTATAATCTAGTGTTTTGAAGCTGCTGCTGACTAAAACAAATGTAATATGTAGGGTATCTGCTTGTCTTAAAGTAATATAAAAAAAATCCTATTATTACAGTGACTTCAGAAGTTAATAGCTCTTTAACCTATTTTTCTCAATTATAGCAGGCTATGATCTTGGTAAAATGGAAGGTTTTCTTTTGTCTACCTGAACTTATAATTTTGGTGGTTTGTACTACTTATGTTGAGAAGCTGAGTTAACTTCCCTTTCTTGCAATTGTTCAGGAATCATACAATCTAAACAGGTCACTATTTTTGCTTATTTGAAAGTAATAGAAGTTTAATTCTTACCCATTCAGTAACACTGATTTTTTTATTTTTTTCCCAATGGTGCAATAATCAAAATTGGGATTTGGGTTGCAAAAATGAACTATACAATAACTTAACTAGTTAACTATTGTAAAACATTTGTAATTTTAAGTTTTGCCAAATCAACATCAAAGATTGTGTTGTCTTATGAATACGCTCCACTGTGTGGAAAGGCAAACATATTTTGATGGATAAAGCCAATGTACCTAAAACTTTTGGGATCACTTCTTGAGACTTACTGAGCAGCATCAGTCAATCAATATTGGAAAAATCACCAAACAAAGCTCAGAAGGGCTGAAATAAGTGCTATTTTTTCAGTACATACGGGAGCACAATAATATTCACAAATGTCTTGCCATGTTGAAATTGAGTATCAAGAGGCAATTGAGAAGCTTCCCTGTGCCCGTACTTTCAATATCTGCCAATTATAGTCTCTACATGGTAATACACAATAGTATACTGAGATTTTTCTAGTGGCAGATGAAAAATCATAAACCATACAGAAACTATGTATGCTTTCTTGGTCTCAAGATTTAGTTACAGAACTCAGTAAACTACAGAGCATAATGAACATTGGGATTGGGGGCGGGGAGAG